ATCGCGCGTAGCATGGACAATTTCACTAGTAGTAGTATATAATAACATGCCAAATTATGTTAGTAATGTAAAAATTATATACATTGTGGGGTGTCCAAGCCATAATTAACTTAATACTAAGACTTGGACTTTATATTGGCTAGCACATTAATGGAATTACATAACCTTGAAAGGTCAAATGAGTCTTATTATATAGCTTTAGCTCCTTTAATTTTCTTCAACCAATTGTTATTTGTTTTTTTGTATCGAATTATTAATTAGCAGAAAGCTTAATTATTCTTTTAGAATTGACGTTCGTTTTGTTTTTAGATAAAATAAATGATAAAATATCATCTCCCCCATCCACCCATTAGACTATGAGACTATTACATAATGGCTATAAATATTTTTGATTGAGCATTTAAATACGTAACTTATGTAAAAATAAATGATCGAATATATACATATCGAGTTTATTCAAATATTTTGCTCGTTGAATTTCTTTTTAAAAAAATTATATCTATATTATTATTGTCCTACATAATTAAAATAGAATAACTAAAACGCGAATAATATAACATAAAAATTAGCCCAACATTGCAAAACACAACAACCAAAACAGATAATTCAATACAAAATTTCCTTATTGGAAACTCAAACTTTTTTATTTTTTCATAAATAAACCTCCCTTTTTCTTCCCAATAATTATTGCTTTCATTGTCATGAAGCCCCATCACCTTATTTGACTTCTTACATTCAATCTTTTTTTTCCACTTTATTTGACTTATATATTCTCTAATATACTTTTTACTTTGAAAATTATATTTAAATATATTTAAATATGACTACTTATTTTAAATTTATTTTATAAAAGGTATAATCAAATATAATTATATATTTAACTCTAACTACATAGATGCCTACCTAATCTCTTCAACCTTATGAGTCAGCAATCTCCTAATATATAATATTTTCAAATCAAAAGAATCTTTGTTCCATAAGCATATTAGTATAATATTTTCAACCACTAAAATATTTTAAACTCATAATACTATATTTTGAATGGTATAATGAGCTCATCTGAAAAATAATAATTTTAAAAAACATTTTTTTTAAATTTAATTGTTTGTTGTCAACACTCTCTCCTCGCATGCTGACTTGATTCTTTCTTATGAGTTCAACACAATAAAATAAAAATCTTAGATGTGATTTTGAATAATATTTCGTCTAAAAAATTTAAATTGATAAAAAAAAATTATTTACATAATTATATCTTCAACCTACCAATGATTTAATTGTGGCCTTTGGGGGGTTACTGGATTTTTCTTCCTTCTGGACTCCACAAGGTTAATTCCACTATGTTTTCTTGTTATTTTATAAAGAGAAAATTATCCAACAAACCAAAAAAGTGTTAGTTTTGGTCAACCATATTAGATATATAGGTCCACACATGACACAATCCCCCATGATGGTGTGTGTATATATATAAAATAAATTATAATGATTTTTTTTTTTTTAAAAAAATTGAAATAAAAAATAAATATTTATTTTGTGGCTGGGCAAGTTACTAGGATATTAAGTTTTTTCCTATATCCCTATTAGGAAAGTTGGAATGTTATCATTTATCCACTGAACTAGCTAAAAATTATCACTTCAAATTGAGATTGGCTGGGATTTAATATAAATTCAAAAGCTAAAAGATTTTTTTGAAAAAAAATAATTTAAAAACAACCAACATTAATGATTTGTACTTCTAACCATTACAATACCTACAAATATAATGAAACAAACTACTAATACTCTAAACCAGAAGAGGAATTAAATCAACAAATATCTGATCTTAAATAAGGTGATTAGAGTTACTAAGCAAGGGGTTTCTTCTATTCATCCAATTTATTCAAAAAAGATAGAACACTTGTTATAATCTCGAATATTCCATAAAATCTCAGATATCTACAAAGAGATCAAGATGTTGAATATTATTTTTCTGAAAGCAAAATGATATATATCCTACGTTCTTGATGATCAAGTATATCGAAAGGAGATCCTTAATTATCATCATATTGTTCGAGAAATACTTTACTAATTAACGATCCTCAAATTAGAAAGAATATTTAGGAAAGAAGAATCAAGGGATAAACAGAGAATTATACTCACAAATATTCATCAAAAAAATCTATTTCATAAATTAAAAAACTTTTAAAAAAAGTTCTTTGTTATTTAATTCAAGGAGATTAATTGCCTTTGGATTTAATATATTTATTTATTTGATTCCCCCCATACCTTTCAAAGTCATGATACAAGATCCTTTTGAGCATATATATTATATATAGCCAATTATCTTTCTTGATTACATAGACTTTCCACTAGTAGCTAGGGTTTTAAGTAAAGTAAGATTTAGTTGACATATAATATACATTACTACTCTATCATGATAATAGGGTTTTAAGTAAATTTTAGTTGACATTTAATCCATTACTATTCTATCATGATAATGACGATGCATAATAAGAAAATCAACTTCATGATGTAGTATTGCTTGTCCATGTATATCCATATGGTATTTTCTGCATAATTACGTAATAACTAAGATTTTGGTAGTACTAATTAATTAATTATTATTTGACTTTCTAAAAGTTTCTTTATCCATGTATATCTAATTTTGGCACTTGATGAAAATCTTACAAAGAAACCTAGTCATCCACCTACAATTTTTATTTATAAATTAGTCGTTATTCTCTAACTTATGATTTTTCCGATTATAATATTTTAGATTTGATCAATCTTCAATCGAAGCTATATATATATATATATATATATAATATATGCCGTCTTTAAAATTCACTTGCAATAAGGTTAGGGGGTAAATAATTACCCGTAAAATTAAAGTGTAAAAGTAAGTTTTATTGTCAAGTTCGAGGGTGTTTTTATGTATTTTCTCTTAGACGATATATACACTGCTGAAATAGTACATCATTTATCATACACTTTCCTCTAATTACACATCTATTATAAAGGTTTTGTGTAAAAATTTTATAATATAAGGGTATATGTGATTAATTGATTCCATGTAGTCATTGCCTTATACTAGTGATTATCCCCATTATTAAAAAAAAACAAAAACTTATTTCCATTAATTCATCAAAACTAATAAGATCATCATCAACCAAATAATGTAATAGCTTTTTGCAGATTAATTGTTTGTTATATGTCAAAATTCGTGTTTTAGTTATAAAAGTTCAAATCCAATTTGAAGTCGGATATTAATTATTTCTTTTTAAAAATACTTTAATCCAAACTTATTTTCCGATTTCATCCTCATAAATTTAAAATAAAGCATTTTCGTCTCTTTTGGCAAAACGTACAATTAAACACAATTATATTCGATGAAAAAAAAATACAATAGAAACTTGAGAATGAAGGATTACTTCTAATTCTTCATTCGAAACTAACATGTGTCTACATCAAGGTGCGATTCGTGTTAGGGTTTTGCCCTGATCTTCTTACCATAATTTAAGATTTATTTTTCCTTAAAGAAAAGACAAAACATTACCATAAATGTTTTTACTTTTCCTGAAAGGAAAATATAATATTCTTTCATATTTGGTTTATTCTTTCCTCTTAGGAAAAGGTTTTGGAGTAACTAGTTCTTTTCTAGTAGGAAAGGTTTTAGGACTCTATAAATATATGTTTGTTTCTTCTAACACAATAATAATAACATCCACGATATAGTCGTTTAAGAGTCTTGTTTATGGGAGATTTATTCTCTCTAAAGTTTCAATGTTTTTCTTTATATAAGTTTTGATATAATAATATTTTGATTTTTAGTATAAGTTTTTGTTATCTGATTTATCAACCATATGATTTGCAAATTGTAAGCTTCCGCATGACGCCATAATCACCCCTTTCGAACCCAACAATTCGTTGAGTTAGGACAAAGATAAAGCCGCTCACCAAATATTTCAATAGCGTTCTATCTAGATTTTTTTATTTTGTTTTAGATAGACTAAAAATGATAATTAATATATAATATAATCTTATAATATGACTTTATAAATGAATTTAAATAAATTGAAAGTCATTTGAAATTTATGACCAAACACCTACAAGGTCAAAATTATGGGTGAAAATTGTTTTCATCCTTTCAACTTTGCTTTTAAATTCAAACTCCCTTCAACTTTAAAAAATAATCAAATTTCCCTATTTATCCTATGCGTTGTCCATTTTATTCCAGTTTATTACTCTTTTTGTCTCTAATTACTTGTCTATTTTTTAATCGACATACATATTAAGAAAACAATAATTGATATAGTGAATTTACCATTTTATCCTTATTAATTATGAAGTGAATGAATTAAAATTTTAAGATTTTCAATAAATTTTACCTTTTTCAAAATTAATTGATTGAGGATATAATAGGTCAAAAAAGAATGTCTTGTTTTTATTTGTCAAAATGGACAAGTAAAAAAAAAAAGAATTAAACAAGTAATTAGGGACAAATGGAGTATATAGATATATCTAATTTATTTTAATGAAAAACTTATTTCTATTAGTAGAAGATAATTTAATCATAATTAAGTAATAAATAGGTATACACAAAACACTTACTTTATGTTAATATTAGAGAAAATTTTAAAACAAAATTAAAAGTGAAAATAATTTGCACCCCAGAATTATATAAGTATTTATTTAGCGTAATTTAAAAGCTAAAAATAAATGGCACAGAAATTTAGAAAATGGACAGAAAATCTAACAACCTCATCACTGTCGGAAAGTGCCAAGTCATCATAAAAGTTGACTGAAAATATATATATATATATATATATATATAAATAGTCAAATTAATATTTTTATTATTACAAAAAATAAAAAATAAAAAGTTGACCGGAGTTCAATCCAGCTTCCGATCATCTTCTCCGACCACTTCTACTTAAAATCTCTCAAATCTCAAAACCCTAACTTTTTTCCATCAACATTTTCGATCGCTTCGCTTTGTTGTTTTTGTAAGTTTCTTCTCCGACCAGCCGCCGATCATCTCCGATCATCTTATCAAACCCGCCGCCGATCATCTCCGGTAACTTCTGGTTCTTCTCTTCTTTTTGTTTGTAAATTTCATTTCCGGTCATCTTCTCCGATCTGCCGGCGGTCATCTTCGCCGATCAGTTCCATTTTTGTTCTCTTTGTAAGTTTTAGATTTTCAATCGGCTTCGCTTAAATTGTTTCCGATTTCTTCTTTTGGAAACCCTAACTTCCCAAATTGGGGTTTTTGTTATTTTCAGGTTAATGGATTCAGAAGAAAGACGGAGAAATGGTAAAACACCGAAGAAAGACGCTTCCACGGCGATGGCCGCTGCTGATGTCACCAGAAACCCTAGATGCTGCATGTGTGAAAACTAAGAAATGCCTTTTGTATAGTTATTGAAAGAAGCTGGTAAGTGCCTTTTGTATATATGATGAATATATCATCAAGCAGTGATTCAGGATCATCTTCTACTGGTAATTAATTAATTATAACAATTCATTCAATTAGGGTTCATAATATGAATGAATGAATGAATCATTTGATTATTTATGTTTGCAGATTCTGATAGCCACAGTACTTCTTCTTGATATTTGAGCGTAAGTGGATGCTCGTTAGCTAATATTACTTTCTTTATATATAATCAGTTGTGAATGTTTCCTTAGTGTTGTGTTTTTTCCAATTTTAACATATATACGAAAAACCAAGGAATTTAGACCATTTCCCAGAAATGTTTTAATCTTTTAACATTCACTTTCTCCGTTAGTCACTCAACTCTTCTTTTCTTGTTTTGCAGGAAATTTGTGTTGCTTCAGAACTTCAAGTTTGAGTCATGAGGGGAATAAACAAATCTTTCAAATTTTTAACATATATATATCTATATCTATACAAGATAGTCTTTGTTTACATTGGAGAAATATAGCCAAGTAATTGCTTGATGAGACATGTTATCAAGCAATTTATTGAATGAGCTAGTATATACAAAGGATATATACATGCTTTTATTGATTAAATTAAAGGCAAATGCAAAAGTCACAAAGTTTGCCATCATTTTATTCGTTTGTATGTCACATTTACTTTTAAGTAGGTAGATGAGATATTAGGTTTTGATAAATCAATATTTTCTTACCAGCTATGTTGCTAGGACTCCAAAAAATATTGTCGCATTTGAGTCTAATCTTCTAAAAAAACACTATTTTTGGAGGATCTAACATACACTCATCGACATTTTTTTAAGAGTCCAAGCAACCTAGCTTAATTAGTAGTCCTGCCATTTATGTCATGTCCTTGGTAGCTTGTCTCGTAGTTATATATATCTAAAGCCCTATTTTGCTTTGGAAGAGATAAATTTGATGCATCCAAAATGGTAGTAACATTTCGTTGACAATTATTCAAGGTTAATATAATCTTGCGATATACCACCTTATCCTATGAATCTAACGACCCTTGAGGGTAAAACTATAGAAGTTTACACCTTTACTGAGTTATAATTGCATATAATAGTAATACATGGATTATTATACGTAGATTAGCTATTCATGTATGAGTTACAATTTCATCTATCATGTATAAAATAATATATAAATTGACTCGTAATTTATACATAATTTAGTTATGTCGAATTGTAAAATGATAACCAAATACTGTATTTGGTATGATGAATTTTACACAAAGCAACTAAAAAGCTAACAAACATATAGAGTCTTAACGTTGAGAGCCTCTTCGAAACTCTATAAAATATTGTATTTGGTATGATGAAATTACAAGGACATGCATGTGATTATCTAAATGCCAAGAAGCAATATTGTACAAATATTTCTAATTATTCTCTTTAGGGCTCCAATACAGATACAAAACAAAAATAGTGCTCAATTGGGGTGGGGTCGGGGTTACAACCTTTGTGGGGCGGGGCAAATTATAGCTTTTGCGGGGCAGGGTAAATTATAGCTTTTGCGGGGTAGGGCGGGGTGGGATGGGTTTAATTTCTTTTCAATAAAATCATGTGGACGGGGCGAGGCGAGTTGTGGGTTTGAGATAGTAACATTTCATACACTTAACTCTAAATAGACGTGATTATTCCTTATTCGAAAATACTTATTTCCATTTATTCATCACAAATTACATTAGATGAACTTTATATGGAATTAATTTTTTGAATTATAAGGTGAAAAAATTCTTATGGCTAAACGGATTGCAAATGCAAGATAACACCTCAGCGACTCGTTTGAGACAAACAACAAGAGCATATTCATTGTAATCCCACAAGTAGTAATTTTATTTACTTTTGAGTTAAAAATTTGGGGAAGATTAGTGTGTACATAAACCCTTACATATGATGTTGCATCGTTACGAGACAAGCAATCAAGAGAAGAAATCGAAAGAATTTGTTAAATATGAGTTGAAGACTCAACTCCACAAGGACATTGAATGACATGAAATGGCAGGACTACTAAGCTCGGTTGCTCCAGACTCTTCAAAAATGTCGATAGGCTCATCCAACACAGATGTAACAACATTTTTGAGAGTCCTATCATAATTGCACTTTCTTCGGGGTTCTCCAGGTATAAACTTTGCCGGAGAAAGTCTTTCTTCTGAATCCATTAGAAATGAAAAACCCTAACCCTAAACACAACCTCAAAATCAAAAACCCCAATTTTGGAACTTAATTAGGGTTTCCAAAAAAAAAATTTGAATACAGATTATTTTTTTTGTAATAACAATAATATTAATTTGATTATATAAATATACGTTTTTTTTCCAGCTTTTAAATTACCTAAAACATTTTTATAATTTTTTCATTTGATTATATATTATGTACAAAAAAGATATCAAAGAAACCACTTTATTTAAAATTTATGAAGATGAAATCAAATTAAGTTCATATACAAATTCATATATTTTATTACCTAAAAAAGGATATGTTTCAATTTTTTCTTCCTTAGGTATCAAATATGATTCGAAGCACTATGATGATTTTCTTATTAAGTTTGATGAATGAATGGAAATAAGTACTCCAAATCGGAAATATTCACTAGTAATAAGGTAAAAATTGAGGGAAAAGCAAAGAAAATAACAAACTTAGGTAAGATTGATCATTCATTCAATCGTAAATTGTAGCGTAACATATAAAGGAATTCGATGAACAACTAAATTCAATTAGTTTGAGAAATATTAGCAATTCGTTATATATGTATGATTCAATCTAGGCATATAACGTCATAAGTAGAGACATACAAACTATCTACCAAAACTTAGAGTTTTCCCAATCTAAACAAGACATAGAGAAATTAATCACGTTGAATTAATTAAATAACAAGAGCTATAAAGAGAATGTTTCACATAGATCCTAAACACAATGACGTCGATGATGTAGCAATTATATATTTCATCATGCAAGCAAGATATATGGACCAGAATCTCATCTAACTACTGAAAAGTAAATGTGGCATACAAACTTTGTGATTTATACATTTTCCTTTAATCACGAAAGGCATATTATATTTTCTCCTTTTCATTCAATAAGATATATCATAGACTTGTGCTATGTTGGAGGTGCTATAATAATTCTGCAATGTAAACAAAGACTTGATGAGTTACCAGTAGAGGATGATCCCTAATCACTGCTTGATGAGTTATCCGCTTCTCTCCCACCTTCAACATGAGTACTAGTACGCATTTCACCTATTCATAAAGCAATATTACGTAATGTCTAACTAATTAAGTCGGTGATTCATCATATAAAAGGACTTACCACTTGTACCTTCTTCACTCGTCATCTCCCTCTTCTTCTTCCTCGGATCAGCTGCCCCGGTAATTGACTTACCTCTTTCTAAAATCCTTCCTTGTCTAAGTGGATGATACTCATAGGGAATAGGATGAAGAGCATTTCTACTAGTGGCCAAGTCTTTTTTATTCCTATTATTAATGGCAGAAGGTAGTTTGTCCTTCTCAAGAAGGTAGTCAGAGCTATTGTAATACCTATTCGGCTTTCTGCTCCTCTTCTCCCTCTCTACAATTCCATAACTTGCAATAGCTGCAAGACTAGGTGCGCGAAATGGATTTGGTAGATCAATAGGTCGCACAAAATTAGGGCAAGGATTTTTCATCACATCATCAACTCTAAATCTTGGATATCTATAAGAACTAATGGGACGACTAGATTTTAAAACTAAACCACGATGTTTACATGAAGTGTGTTGAAGCTTCTCCTTAGCTTCAATCTTCTTCACCATACCCCTAACATGATCTAGCTCGCCCTCTAAAACCCTCCTAGCTTCTCTAATCTCAACTAGAGACCTCGATTTATTTAACCTAACCCTAACCCTAACCCTATCTTCAGCCCTAGAAATCAGTGACCGATTAGGCTCGCTACCTTCCCTCAATTCCACATCACCCGAGGTGGAATTAGTAATTAAAAAATCTGCCTGAGGTATTATTACCTTTGCCGGTTGCTCTGCATCTAGGGTTTTTAAAACCTTGGTCTCTAGTGTGGCTACACCGTCAGCAGTAGTTTTACGGTTTCTCCGGCTATAAACTTTGCCGGAGAATCGTCTTTCTTCCGAATTCATAGGAAATGTAACCTGAAAAAACAAAAACCACAATTTGGAAACTTAGGGTTTCTAAAAAAAATCGAAAACAATTTAAGCGAAGCAGATTGTTAATCAAAAGATTTGTGAGAGGTATTACCTTTGCCGGTTGCTCTGCATCTAGGGTTTCTGAAACCTTGGTCTCTGGTGCAGTTACACCGGCGGCAGTGGCCGGAGAAATATCTTTCTTCAAGGTTTTACAGTTTCTCCGGCTATAAACTTTGCCGGAGAATCGTCTTTCCTCTGAATCCATCCCAAACGTAACCTGTAAAAACAAAAAACCCCAATTTGGAAACACTAAAAAAATCGAAAACAATTTAAGTGAAGCAGATTGAAAAATCTAAAACTTACAAAATAATGAAGAAGAGGAGAAACGGAAGTGATCGTCGAATCTTACCGCCGGCGGAACGGAGAAGATGATCGGAGAAAAAATTGAAGTTGTCGGAGATGATCGGCGTCGGGTAGGAGAAGATGATCGGAGAAGAAATGGAAGTTATCCGAGATGATCGGCGTCAGGTCGGAGAAGAAATGGAAGTGATCGGTG